TTTTTGGGCCCTAATTTTGAACTTCAAAAAAACTTAATAAGTTGAAATTGCAAAAGCCTTTTTTTAAAAACTTTGAAAAAATCTTTGATTTACCACTGATGAAATTAATTATAAAGGATGGTATTAGCTCTTTTTAAAACAAAACATTCCCAATTTTGCCCTCAAAGACTCTTAAAGTCTTATGATACATTTTAATAAAAAAAAATTTCGCGTTACCAAAGCAGATAAAATAAATGCAATAGTAATTATGAAAAAAAAATAAATTTAACCCAAGAAAAAATTCCCTATTCAAATTGAAAGAATCCCTTAGAAACCGTTTAACAGGAATTTCAAAAAACAAAAAAACTTTTTACTAAAAGGCAAAATAAATTTAAATTTAAAAATTTACTTTCACTAATCCATCTTTACCTTACATGTAGGACTAATAAAACCACACAAACCAAGTAATCCCAAACAGACCCAATTATTAGCCCATAGGGTCAGTTTTGTAAAAATTATCCAAAGGGGTTGTTGACATTTTGAGCCCTATTGATGGTAAAATTTCTAACTTCAATGTTAAAAACAACTTAGATTTAGTTGATAAATTAAGCTCCTTGACTGACTTAAAAGATTTTAACATAGTTTTAATGTTACGTCCTTGTTTACGAAAGTTCCTGTTGATGATTTATTAAGTTTCTTATCCGAAGAACTCGTTAATTATGAATTACCATTACCAGTTCCTACCATCATTAAACTTATTAAACTTTGCATTGTTGATGCAAAATTTGTATTTAATGATAAGTTTTACACTCAGAAATTTTGTATGGCAATGGGAAATCCTCTTTCGCCTGTTCTTAGTTATCTATAAATGGAATTTTTTTGAAACAAGATTGCTTAACACAATCCTCCCTAATAGAGCAAAATGGTTCAGATATGTGGATGATATTTTGTCTTATGCCCAAGAATGTAGATATACACCATTTCCTTGGCAAATTAAATAGCTTAGCCCATTCTATAAACTTTACTGTTGAGTTTGAGGAAAATAACTCATTGCCTTTTCTAGATGTTTTAATTATTAAGAGTAATAATGAATTCAAATTTAAAATTTACAGAAAACCTACAAATAACTGTTCCTATGTACACTATTATTCTTCCCATCAAGATAAAGTTAAACTGTCTGTTTTCTCATCAATGTTTTTGAGAGCTTTACGTATTTGTAGTCCAGAGTTCATAGATGAAGAAATATCCAAAATTTATGAAATAGCCAATGATCTGAAATACCCGAGAAATGTAATTGATAAATCATTTAAAATTGCTAGAAATACTTTTTACAATCCAAAAAGAGACAACCAACCTTATTCAACTAAAAATATGTTGGTTCTCCCTTACCATGAAAACTTGGTTGATATGCCTTCTCTTCTTAAGACTTTTAATATTGAAGCTGTATTTAAAAATCTTAACACAGTAAAAAAAACTTTTGATGAAGAATTCCCCCCAAAATGCTGACGGATGTGTCTAAGATTCCTTGTAAAATTTGCGATAAAGGTTATTACGGTCAAACTGGTAAAAGTCTCGAACTTACATTAAAACAACATAAATATAGCATTAGAACTGGACAAGATTCCAATGCTCTATTTATTCATGTTAGAGACTTTAACCATCCAATTGATTTTCAAAAAGTTGAGAAAGTTGTATCAAGCAAGTCAATGGTTGACAGAAATATAATTGAATCTTGTTTCATAAAAAGCAGTTTTGAAAATAATATGAATATTTCCTTAGGTTTATATAAATTAGATTCATTTATAATTAAAAAATTTGGTTAGAGTTTAATAACACATTGGGCAAATAATAAACCTTATTTCCTGGGCAGAATAATTTGTTAGTGGGATGTCGTGAGGACCTGTCTAGTTGGACCAGCGGACCTACTGCAGTGTTCCTCTTTTCTTATGAGTCCGGTATTGTCCCGCGTCAGGTGTTTCTTTGTTGTGGGAGTTGACCGTGAGGTGTGTTCTAAGCCCTTTAATTGCCTTCCTTTGATGTATTACTTTCATAGTTCCTTGACAATGTGAGAAGTCAGGAAAGCACTTGGAATTTCACTACTCTTTCAAAGTGGTTGTTTTGCATATTTTAAAATCACCCGTGTTAATGTTGCAGTTTAAAAACTGTAGTGTAAAGCACCCTTCTGGCAAGACAGTGATGGAGTGAATGATGGTGAAAGTTTTTCTTTTTCGGGCCACCCTGCCTTGGTGGGAATCGGCCGGTGTGATAATAAAAAAAAAATATATTATATATATATATATAAGATATATATAATATATATATATAATATTATATATATATATATATATATATATAAGGTAGAAAGCTGAAGTGAACATAGAAAAGACTAAGGTGATGAGAATATCAAATGATTTAGATATAGAAAAATTGGATATCAAATTGAGGAGGAGTATGGAAGAAGTGAATGTTTTTCGATACTTGGGAGTTGACGTATCGGCGGATGGATTTATGAAGGATGAGGTTAATCATAGAATTGATGAGGGAAAAAAGGTGAATGGTGCGTTTAGGTATATGTGGAGTCTAAAAACGTTATATATGGAGGCAAAGAAGAGAATTTATAAAAGTATAGTAGTACCAACACTCTTATATGGGTGTGAAGCTTGGGTTGTGAATGCAGCAGCGAGGAGGCGGTTGGAGGCAGTGGAGATGTCCTGTCTAAGGGCAATGTGTGGTGCAAATATTATGCAGAAAATTTGGAGTGTGGAGATTAGGAGAAGGTGTGGAGTTAGTAAAAGTATTAGTCAGAGGGCTGAAGAGGAATTGTTGAGGTAGTTTGGTCATTTAGAGAGAATGGATCAAAGTAGAATGACATGGAGAGTGTATAAATCTGTAGGGGAAGGAAGGCGGGGTAGGGGTCGTCCTCGAAAAGGTTGGAGGGAGGGGGTAAAGGAGGTTTTGTGGGCGAGTGGCTTGGACTTCCAGCAAGCATGCGTGAGCGTGTTCGATAGGAGTGAATGGAGAAGAATGGTATTTGCGACCTGACGATCTGTTGGAGTGTGAGGAGGGTAATATTTAGTGAAGGGATTCAGGGAAACCGGTTATTTTTATATAGCCGGACTTGAGTCCTGGAAATGGGAAGTACAATGCCTGCATTCTAAAGGAGGGGTTCAGGATATTAGCAGTTTGGAGGGATATGTTGTGTATCTTTATACGTATATGCTTCTAAACTGTTGTGTTCTGAGCACCACTGCAAAAACAGTGATTATGTGCGAGTGAGGTGAAAGAGTTGAATAATGATGAAAGTATTTTCTTTTAGGGGATTTTCTTTCTTTTTGGGTCACCCTGCTTCGGTGGGAGACGGCCGACTTGTTTATATGTAAATATATATGTAAATATATATTGTAAATATATATATATATATATATATATATATATATATATATATATATATATATATATATATATATATATAACACTGCGACTAGCCAAGGAGTCGAACCCATGCTGCTTTGGCCGGGCTCATGGTGAGCGAAAAATCATGACGCTCTAGTCAACGGAACCACACAATCCTCAAGAATGACGCACCCAGCTAAGTTTGGCGTTGTACCCGTCATCCGAGGATATACGGTGGTATGGATGCTTCTGAGCTAATTTCATTCTACTCCCCGTTTGGTATACTAGCCCAACGAGCAGTATTTTATATTGTTTTACTCACGAACGAGTGGTATTGATTAATAACTGCACTGCGACCAGCCATGGAGTCTAACGCATGCTGTATGGGTTCGACTCCTTGGCTAGTCGCAGTGTTATTGATCAATACCACTCGTTCGTGGGTAAAACAATATAAAATACTGCTCGTTGGGCTAGTATACCAAACAGGAAGTAAAATGAAATTAACTCAGAATATTCACAATTATATATATATATATAATAATATATATATATATATATATATATATATATATATTATATATATATATGTATATATGTGTGTGTGTGTATGTGTGTGGTGTGTGTGTGTGTGTGTGGTGTGTGTGTGTGTGTGTGTGTGTGTGTGTGTGTGTGAGTGTGTGTGTGAGTGTGTGTGTGTGTGTGTGGTGTGTGTATGTATTTTTGTGTGTGCGCGCGCGTGTATGTATGTGTATGTGTGTGTGTGAGATACCGTGGTCATAATACGTTAAATGACGTTACTAAAACTCTTCGTTAAAGTAACTAGCTTTGTGTGTTCCTATAATTAAATATAGAGAAACAAAAATATTGAAAGTGAGGACCTTCGATTGTGCATAAGGGTAACGTTTCTGGGGATAATTTTCCATCCTAGAAGAATGTTACCTCCGTTATGTCAGTACTGCCAGACTCCGGCAGTAGCTTGAGTCCCCACCACTAGATATAGACCAAACTAAAGGTAAGTTCCGCTAGACTGACAATTGTCACAGCCTGCGACCTGTGCTGGAATGCATAACTTAAATATAATATTTTTATGATGCAATTCATGTCTGCATAAATACCTCATTAAGATTGTAATCAGATATAAACATGTAAACAGCTCATTACCACTAACTTGTTTGGCTATCAAAATTTTCCGACCCATTATGGAATCATTATGTACCTCTGATCTTTTGAATACCACCCACACTATGTGTATGGGGTGCATAATGAAGGTGTTAAATTAAATAATGTAAACGACAAACAGTACTAAAAGATAAAGAAAACCCGTATGTTGGGAGAACCAAGTGTCAAGGGAAAGTAAAAGAATGTGCAATAGGCGAGTTTTATCCCCAACAATCAAATAGAGAAGCAGCTTAATATAAATCTGTGTTTCAAGGTTTGAAGATGAAGGTTTTTTTTTTCTTTGCACTAACTTTAGTAGGGATCTCTGAACTTCTCTGTCTGAGCTTCATCCCATTCACCTTGGGATTTGGCTGTGCATTAGGGCATTCCAAAATGTGACTTACCTTGAACTGACGGTGACTTAATGTGGATTAAAGGGTTGATAGTTCAGCATGAACTGAGGGACTCACCTTGGACTCTGAGCATGACGTGACGAGAGAGTTTAGGTTCAGTGTTGATTTGACACTCGTACACTCCCGCGTCCCTCAGCTGGGAGTAGCGGACCACCAGCGTCCACTCATCGCTGCCCTCAGCATGAACCAC